AGCGCTGCCTCCTGCCCTGTCGCCCCCAAGAGCCCTTCTTGCAAACAGGCCCTCAGTGCCTCCCCCTTTTTGCTTCTGCTTCCCGCAGCGAGGCCGGGGCGGGTGGCCCTGGCTGCTGTGGGGCTGCTGGGGCAGGTGACCGGTGCCCGCGGTCTCCGCCATCCTTCCTGTCCCCAGCGGGGCTGCAAGCAGGGGCCTCGCAGCAGTGTCCCCAGCCCCCTTCCCAGGCGCCGGCCCCCACAGCGTCAGCCCTGCATAGTGCCAGGGGAGTGATGAGAGGGGCTGCGGATGCCACGCGGCGCCAGCGGGGCCGGGCCTCACCGCGGCGGCTCCGGGCGCTTCTGCTGCTCCGGCTTTTCTGCAGCTGGGAGCCCGTCCCAGCTCCCACGGGCACCCAACGTGGCTGCACGTGCAGGGATCCAGGTGCGGATGGAGACGCTTGCCGCAGGGTACCCTGGATGTCCTAGCGGGATGGGGGATTCCAGCCCCACGCAGTCCCTGCGGCTCAGTCCTGCCCTTCCCTTCCTGCCATCACAAACGGCCCGGGTTGTAGTTCTGAGGTGGGGCTTGGAAACGTTATTTTTCCCTTATTTTCCTACCTTTTTCGAAGCAGATGCTGCCTGTTTGCCTTTCCTGGCTGCTGGCATCGGTTCCTCCACGTTGCCGCCAGCTATCCCCACCTTCCTGCAATGGGGGTGGTGAAAGGGTGGTCCTGTGCTGCTGGCTGCAAGGAAAGGGGCAGCTCTGTGACCAGGGGGTGCAGAGAAAAGCCTGGAAAAGCAGGGAAGGGACCTAACTGCAGCAGGCAGAGTCCCGTCGCCGGTCCTTTCTGTAACCTGACTTCTTTTTCTCGGTGCATGGCGGGGAGCCTCTCGCGATGCTTGAGCAGCTGGGAGTAGTGGTAGGAGACCTGGGGCCCATGTCCCCCGGTGGTCCCGTGCGCTGGGGCTTGTGCCCCGTCTCTGGCCAAGGGCAGCGCCGGCGGTGACGCTTTTCCCCCCTCGGACTTTCTGGGATGCAAAGTGTCCGTGGAGCTGGGCCGGCGGCAGGTCTGCTTGGGAGACCGGGACGTCGGGGGCGGCGTGACCCCGAGCCGGGGTGTCTCTGACAGTATTAAACCCAGCTGAAATCTGGGGCTGCGTTGTGCTCCTGGCTCCATCCCTGCCGCGCGCCGACCCTGGGGACAGCAGGATCTCCAAAGAGCCCGGTCCTTGCAGCCCTTCTCCAAGACTTATTTCGGGGCTGCCCCCTTCCCTGGCCAGCTCCCTGGGACCTCCTGAAGCCCTGGTGGGAGCACCGGGGCTGGGGATGAATGGGGCTGGTGGGTGACAAATGGACCTGTGGCCAAGTGGAGAGGTGCAGCTGGCTCTGTTCCCATCCAGACGTGCCGGCCTTATCGGGGGAAGCTGAAGCAGAGATAAAAGCAACTTGCTCAGCGTCAAGCCGGCCGAGCCCCAGGGCTCCTGCACAAGGGACACGTCCCCATGGCTGTGGCTTCTGCCTGTCCTTGTCACCTCCTTCATGGACAACCTCCCCAGGTGCCTCCGTGGCAGGAGTGGGAGAGGGGCAGGCCCAGGAGCCCTTCCCTTTCCTGCACCCATTTCCTTATGGAAAGGTGAGGGCTGGGGCGCTCTTTGTAGTGCGGAGCCTCTCGCTGCTTGGCCGCATCCCTCGGAAGCTCTTCCTGGAAGTGGCCACGGGATAGGGGTGCAGGAAGCCCTATTGTGGCGGCACCCCCGCTGCTGTGGGAGCCCAGGACTGCTCCCTGGGAAGCAGCTGCAGGAAGAGCATCCTCTTGCCTCCCAGGAAACCCGTGCACCTTCCAGCCGCCCTTCCCCAGGGACCGGCCTTCCCCTCCCCGGCCGCATCCCTCGGAAGCTCTTCCTGGAAGTGGCCACGGGATAGGGGTGCAGGAAGCCCTATTGTGGCGGCACCCCCGCTGCTGTGGGAGCCCAGGACTGCTCCCTGGGAAGCAGCTGCAGGAAGAGCATCCTCTTGCCTCCCAGGAAACCCGTGCACCTTCCAGCCGCCCTTCCCCAGGGACCGGCCTTCCCCTCCCCGAGTTTAGCCCGAAGAGAGGGGCTCAGGCCGGAATCACGGAACGGCTCAGAAGCCGGACCTGGGCACCCCAGCGAGAGCGGCGGCTGCGCCCAGGCA